TGTTACTACTTTTAGCTTCTAGCTAGCATTATAACACTTTTAACCATCCCTATTGCTACTTTAGCTTTTAATGCATCATGTTTCAGATAGACTTTTGCTACTTGTGGCTAAATATTTGCTGCTTTTAGCTTTCATTTAGTTACTTTTAGCTTTCGGTTAGCCTTTGACAATTTTTTCTACTGCTACACTTAACTGTAAGCTAGTGTTTTACTACTTTTAGCTTCTAGCTAGCATTATAATATGGTTAATCATCCTTTTACTACTTAGCTTTAACAAAGTTTCTGRGCTTTAGCTAGACTTTTGCTGCTTTTAGCTTTCATTTAGTTACTTTTAGCTTTTGGTTAGCCTTTGACAATTTTTTTCTACTGCTACACTTAACTGTAAGCTAGTGTTTTGCTACTTTCAACTAGTCTGTTGCTAATTTTAGCTTCTAGCTAGCATTATAACACTTTTAGCCATCCCRATTGCTACTTTAGCTTTTAACGCATCATGTTTCAGATAGACTTTTGCTACTTGTGGCTAAATATTTGCTGCTTTTAGCTTTTGTTTAGTTACTTTTAGCTTTCGGTTAGCCTTTGACATTTTTTTCTACTGCTACACTTAACTGTAAGCTAGTGTTTTACTACTTTTAGCTTCTAGCTAGCATTATAATATGGTTAGTTATACTTTTACTACTTAGCTTTAACAAAGTTTCTGTGCTTTAGCTAGACTTTTGCAACTTGTGGCTAAATATTTGCTGCTTTTAGCTTTCATTTAGTTACATTTAGCTTTCGGTTAGCCTTTGAATATTTTTTCAACTACATTTTTCAACCTAACTGCAAGCTAGTGTTTTGCTACCTTCAACTAGTCTGTTGCTAATTTTAGCTTCTAGCTAGCATTATAACACTTAGCCATCCCTACTTTAGCATTAACGTGTAACGTTTTAGCTAGACTTTTGCTACTTGTGGCTAAATATTTGCTGCTTTTAGCTAGCATCTTGCTACTTTGAGCTTTAAGTTAGCCTCTCACTAGCTGTAAGCTAGTCTTTCAACACRTTTAGCTTCTTTCAGCACAGTTCATGCTAACAGTTAGCATCAGCAGCCGGTTTTAACCTGGAAACAGAACCACCTGAATAAAAACAAGCGTTAAATTCAGGATTTTATTCTGAAAACTCAGATTTAAAATAGTTTTAAAATATTTTAATAAAACCAACTAACCTGAGCCTGACAACAGCTTCTTCCTGCCAACCGAACCTGGAGGCCAGAAATCTCCAGGCAACCGAAAAACACACACAGAACCCCGCACCGAACCAAAACACATCCGAGCCTGAGACCCAACCAGATCCAGGGAAACGGAACCGGAGCGCAGATTCACAAAGGAGACCCAGACWGGGTTCTCCTGCTGCTGTCACTTCTCATCTGGGCTAAAAATAAACCTGACGGACCGGGCGGAACACGTCCGAACCGGGCCTGCCTCACGTTTATCTGCCGACTCTCAGAACCGGTTCCMGTGGCGGTCCAGATAAATTAATCAGCAGAACCAGACCGGACTGAGAGGGGGGCTGCCGGGTGACCCCAGCAGACCCTCCAGCCCTCCCTGCAGGGAGTTTCCTGCCCGAACCTGCTCCTCCTCTGCCTTCAGCTCGAACCGAACCGGAGATCCGGCAGCGGGGCGTCACCGGCGCAGCAGCCGGGTGAAAGCGCTCCTCCGCCGGGAACAGAAGCTGTGCTCACCCGTCGGGAGGACCGAGGATCCGGGCTTCTTGGTTAACATGGCGGCCGCTCCTCTCCTCTGCTCCGGGACGAGCAGGACACCTCCTCTTCCTCCATCTTCAGCTCCTCCTCTTCCTCCTCCTGTTCCTCCTCCTCTTTTTAAGCGTCTCGCCTTAAAACCGGTTTAATCCGTAATAAAAGTGACATTTAACACTTTAAAGCGATGCTTTAATGTTTTTATATGTCTCCAAAACCTACAACTATGTTGCAAAAGCAACGTCTTGGGAAGTAGGGGTGCAGAGGGTGCTGCAGCACCCCTGATAGATGTCATTTGACATAATGTATGAATGCATGAAATCAATTTAGTTTGTGTTTAACTTCTAAAAGTGCAAAGTGTAAATCTGGTGCATAAACCAGCTGTTATTAACGGGGGCTGCGGTGTCCCCCCATAGTCCAAAACCTGTTCAGTCTGCAGTCTCAGTTAAACCTCTGCACCTCTTTATTTGTGGTCGGGTCATAGACAGAGACAGTCTGCAGCTCCTCCTGGGGGGGTCCAAAGGTGTTCCCAGACCAGGCAGGGTCTGATCCCCTCAACAGGGCCGGRACCAAAGTGGCTCCGCCCCCCGGGCAAGACCTCAGGCACCTCYTGCAGTTTCCTAAACCTCGCCGCCTATTTAGATACATTCACATAACATTAAATTATTTTGTCTTTGATATTATTTCGAATCTTTAGAAACCAGGTTCTCCAATTAAAATAATTACAAAAAAATGTCAATATGTCACATTGAAGAGTAGCTGTGGAGTGAAGCAGTTATAGGGGGGTCCTAGGATGACTAAAACAAGATAAAATTGGTATTTTATGAAGGTAGAACATGAAAAAACAGACTTTACCAACTGAACTTCCGTTCTCCTCATTCTGTTTTCTGTTTCTGAGCACCAGGAGTTAAACTTTGCATCATTTGTGAGCCATCATATCCAAATGAGGATCGAGTCGATTTTGGTCAAAAAGACCGAATCACATTTTCAGATTCACGGCTTTAAAAGCTACATTTTGATTCCTGGATCATGATGTCATGAGCAGATTCAGAGATATTAATTAATTTGTCTTGTTGGTCATGATAATATTTCTTTTCTGATTGTTACAATAATACATTATTATTTGATCTAAATACTAATTTTATGGAATTTTATTTAGAAATTGTTCATTTTATTATAAAGAGGAAACCTTATATTTGAATATTGAGATTTCCCAGCAGAAAAGAAACAAAAACTTTGCTAGTTTACAGGGAAAATCTCAAAATTTAAAGGCATTTTTCCTCAAAATCCGGTTCTTTAGTTGCTACTGCTCAACTTCAAATATTTTTTATAAGATCATATTTCATATAGTTCATTCAAAAGAAACATTGATAAGGCATTTATTTGTTAGATTTTGACAAAATGCATTTTTTGCAAGTGTTTAATCAAAACACTGTATTTATATTTCTCACCACTTTTAGACTTAATCCTCATTTCGATGTGATGGGTCACATYTTATACTTTTATCAGGAAAGATTTAAATGTTTGTGAAACCCTGGTTTTGTAGGAGACTTAAGGAGCGATCCACTTTAATCCAGGGAATAAGATTATGGAACGGTCTGGAAGATGAGATTAAAAATGACAGATCTTTGTATTTATTAAAGATAATGGTAAAACCTTGTATTCTGAAGAAATATGGAGAAGCATAAGTGAATCCATGCAAATTGTATGAGTTGGTGTTTTAAGTTTAGCTTTGTTTTATGTTTGTTTTTATTTTTGTTGTAATTTTCTTTTATTTTGAAAATATTCTGGGGATATAAAAGGGGCAGATATAAGATTTATTCTTCTTCTGCTGCCTCTCGTTTGATTTGATGCGTGTTTTTGTTCTTTTATGTGTATAAAACAGTTACAAGTGAYATAAATAAATTTCTAAATAAATAAACATCCTCTGCAGCATAAAACACCTCATAGAAACAGAGCAAAACAAGTTCATAAACTTGAGTAACCAGAGGTTAATCTGAAGACTAAATCTGATAAAAAGTTTGTAAATATTTTTCTCGTCCCTCCTTTGTGGCCCCCTCTGGATGGACGGGACCCTTAGTGTTTGCCTATGCTGCCTGTGGCACAGCATTAAACAAACCCCACTAACAGGACCTAAAAGTTAGTAAAGATGCTGAACTCACCTCCTGCACTGAGAAGACAGCAGCTTCTCTTGGTTCTGCTTCCTTCAGGACTCAGAGCAGGTGTTTCCTCTCACTTTTGTCTACAGCCGTCCATCTGGGGACGTCATCATATTACCCCAGCACGTAATTGTTTACAAAGCTGCCTGGAGACCAACGACATGTTGACATCACAGACAGAGAGATGGTGTTTCTGTTAACCAGGAGGTTCCTTCGCTTGCCGCATGTGATCTCAGCTTTCACAGCTTTTAGTTCAATTACAGCGAGGACTGTTCTGAGGTCCACACAGGAGCTCAAATAACTCGRCAAAACAAAGACAAAACTCTCCCGAGTTCAACTCAGTCAGTGGGGAAAAGGTGAAAAACACTCATCCCAGCGTCCTGCAGGCCCAACAGATCTGTTAGAGAACCATGAACCTGCATTAATTCACATTTTATACATGTTTGATTTACAAAAATGTTTTTTGTTGCTTTTTGTCCCAGATTTTGAGAAATATTAGACAATACATTAGTTTCTTTTTGACAACTTATTTTATTACATTATTTAAAAGGCACATTACTTACAAAACAATTTATAAATGTATGTTTAATATGATCAAATTAAAAAAATAATAAATTACCAAATCATTTTTTTGATGTGTACAAAACAGACATATAATTTCTAGTCACGTTCTGCCATCTAGCGGTMTGGATTCGCCATTACAGATCTAAAACGTTTTTAACCGGAAGTGAGGCTTTTATTCTGAAATTAAAGCTGACCGGAAGACGTTGCCGCTGACAGGCGCGAGCTTTATGTTTTTGCCCTGAGGATGGCGGCTGGTCGAGGCGAGTTTTTCCGCAGTTTTCAGGAGGGTTTACAGCGGCTGCCTGTCCAACCAGCCCCGGGGAGGCAGCAGCCGAGCCGCGGCAGAGGAAGGCCCTCTGCGGGCCCGGAGAGGGGACGGGCGGGCTCCGGGAGAAGGAAGAAGCGAGTCGAACAGAGTTCGGTCCACTGGACGGAAAGGTGGCAGGGCGTGGTTTTTTCTTTTAGTCATATTTATCTGTTTGTTTTAACATTTAATTTAAATTAATGTTTTTTTATTATGATTTTAGCTACAAACCCAGAAATGCGAAGGTGTGCTTTCCTTTTAGAACACTTCCAGCTTCAACAGAAAACTTTATAGAAAGGTAAGCTAATTATGCTAATTAGCTAACTTGGAGGAGGGATGCTGTTTCTCTGTGATTGGTTGTTTTATTGCAAAACAAAGAAGTTATTATTTGTTGTATGACCTCAGTGAGCTGTGATTGGCTGTTTTGTCTCCCAACCCTTCTTGACAGAATGCTGTTTATCTGTTCTATTTCGTGTAAGCTCCGCCCTCTATCGCTGATCGGAGGGATACCCATCAGAAAGCCTTTGTGGGCGGAGCTTACGATCAGAATCTGGGGCTACAATACGTAACCAACGTTTTTTTATTGCAAATTAGCCTTAACAAGCCCCCAACCCCCCCGAATATTTACTTCTAATTGACAATTGAAAGTGTTTAATGTTTATTTTAAGTTTATTTTAAATATTAGTTGGTAAAAAGGTAGAAATTACCAGTATCCAATCAGTTAACACGATTAAGAAAGCTGGTAAGATTTGCAAATATATTCTATTAAAACTACGTTTAACAGTTGTTTGATGAAATTGATCTTATTTGATTGTGTGAACGTTTCACAGCACTATTCCATACGTTTTGCAGCATCTAACTCGTTCCACAATTTTTGTGCTATTTCAACAATTCCTATATCCAAATGTTCAGCTCATTTATGACAGTCCTGCTGTGACTCTTGGTATTGCAGCTGTTCTGACATTTTCAGCTATTTCACTTTTTTAGCCACTGAAAATGAATGTAGCTGTTTTTAACATCCTTAAAATCCTTTAAAATGTTTCTAAATCTTTACAGAACCTTACACAATTTACAGTGTTTTATAAAGTACTACAAAGTGATACTTGAGTAAAAGTACAAGTATGTTACCAAAAACTTACTTTGGTAAAAGTTAAAGTCTCTTTTAGGAATATTACT